CCTCGCCGAATGCCTTTTGGAAAACTAGATACACCATATCTACTGTGTTCCCGCTGTCCACTGCGTTCATAATGTCTTCATAGAATTCCAGTAAATTAGTTAAACATGACCTGCTGTTCTTGAACCCATGCTGCACCTGCCCAATGGGACAATTTCTATCTAGATGTCTTGCTATTTCTTCCTTGATGATAGATTCAAACATTTTCCCCACTGCAGAAGTTAAGCTAACCAACCTACAATTCCCCATCTTTTGTCTACCTTCTTTTTTAAACAGTGGTGTCACATTGGCTGTTTTCCAGTCTGCTGGAACTGTCCCAGAGTCCAGCGAATTTTGGAAAATTACCACAAGCGCATTTGCTATTTCTCCCACCATCTCTTTTAGTACCCAGGGATGCATTCCATCAGAGCCAGGAGACTTGTCTACCTTTAGCGCCATTAGTTGCCCAACACTACCTCTTTCGTGATAATGATCGAATCTAGGTCCTCACCTACCTTAGTCTCCTTGTCATCAATTACTGGCATGTTATTCGTGTCCTCCACTGTGAAGTCTGACACAAAATATCTGTCCAATGCCGTGATTATTTCCTCATTTCCCATTATTAAATCGCCCTTCTCATCCTATAAAGGACCAATGTTTACCTTAGCCACAATTCCATTTTATATATTTGTAGAAATTTTGCTATCTGTCTTTATATTCTGAACTAGTTTACTCTCATAAACTATCTTACTTTGTTAATAGAGATAGTAGGAACTGCAGATGCTGGAGAATCCGAGACAACAAGGTGCAGGGCTGGATGAACACAGCAGGCCAAGCAGCATCATAGGAGCAGAAAGGCTGACGTTTCGGGCCTACACCTTTTCTGATGAAGGGTCTCGGCCCGAAACGTCAGCCTTTCTCCTCCCTCATTCTGTTGTATTCTCCTTTGTTTTGGATCTGGTATTGGATTTTATCTTCTCACTTTCCATCTGTATTCCAAATTCAACCATACTGTGATTGCTCCTCCAAGAAGATCCCTAACTATGAGATCATTAATTCTTCCTGTCTCAGACCAGATTTAGGATAGCTTGCTCCCTGGTCAGTTCCATTACATATTGTTCAAGAAAACTATCACGGATACATTCAATGAACACTTCCACAAGGCTGCCTTGACTGATCTGGTTCAACCAATTGACATGTAGATTAAAATCCCCCATGATAATTGTTGTACCATTTTTATAGTCATTAGTTGTTGCTCTGTTTATTGCCCGCCCCAATGTATTATTATTTGGTGGCCTATAGACCACGCTTATCAGTGAATTTTTCACCTTAGAATTTCTAATTTCCAACCAAATGGATTCAACCTTATTCTCCATAAAACCTGTATTATCTCTCACTAATGCCTTGAATATCAGCTTTAAAATCAGCCTGAATATCCTTAAATATCAGCCTTAAAATACCACCCCACCCTTTACTTTCCTGTCTGTCCTTTTGAATAGTCTGATACCCCTGGATATTCAATTCCCAGTCATGACCATTCTGCAACTATGTCTCCGTAATGGTTACTAAATCATACTCATTCACAACAATTTGTGCCATTAACTCATCCATCTTGTTTTGAACACTACGTAAAGTGCCTTTACGCAAGTTTTTATACCTTCTTTTTGAATTCTAACATCTCCATTAATAATAGCTCCTGAGTTTTCCTTTCTTTTAACTTCTTTCATAGTCTTCAACTTAGTTAAACCCTCCTGCACATGTTAACCTGCTGCTTTCTTTTCTATTTACCATCATACTTCCTGTCATTATCCCCTTCCCTTCCCCCAAATTCACGAGTTTAAAGTCCTAGTGACCAGCCTATTTATCCTTTTCACTAAAACACTGGTTCCAGATCAGTTCAGGTGGAGACTGTCTTAACGGTGCAGATCCCACCTGTTCCAAAACTGATGCCGATGCCCCATGAAATGGAACCCCTCTTTCCCATATCACTCCTTTAGCCATGTGTATTTCCCGAATTTTCTTATCCCTAAACCAATTTGCACGTGGCTCCGGTGGTAATCCAGAGATTATAACCCTTGAGACCCTGCTCCTTAATTTCGTTCCTAGTGCTTGATAATCCCCAAATAGGTCCTCCTTCCTGGCCTTGCCTATGTTGTTTGTCCCGACATGGACCACAACAACTGGTTCCTGACCCTCTCGTTTCAATATCCTTTCAAGCCGGTCAGAGAAATCCCTCACCCTGGCACCGGGAAGGCAACACACCATGCGGGACTCTTGATCCTGCTTACAAAGAATGCTATCAATCCCCTTAATTACAGAGTTCCCTACAGCTACCACTTGTCCTTTGCTCCGCCCTCTTGAATGGTCTCCTGTACCATGGTGCAATGGCTCATCCTCCATATAACCCTTTTCCTCATCCTCACAGGGAACAAGTACCTCATATCTATTTGACAAGGTCAAGAGCTGAGGCTCCTCCGTTCCCAAATTCAGGAACCCCCTACCTGCCTCACTTGCAACCACACCCTGCTGTCCTTGATCACTGGCTAAATTTGAAGTTGAGTTGCCATGACTCTCATCGAGCAATGATTCGGGTGGAACCAATCCCATCGGAACAGCTTGTTCCTTCCTCAGCGCTGGTGCCAAAATCCTGTGAATGTGAACCCATTTCTCCCACATCAAACTTTGAGCCTCGCATTTGTCCCTTTAATCTTGTTGACCCTGTGCCAATTAGCTAATGGCTCAGGTAGTAGTCTGAAGATTACCACCTTTTTGGCTCTGCTTTATAATTTAGCTCCTAGCTGCTCATATGCCCTCAGCAGAACCTCTTTCCTTTTTTTTTGAAACCTTATATTATTGGCACCTCAGAGGACCATGACAACTGAATCTTTTCCCTCCCATTCTAAGTCCTTCTGCTGATGAGATATCCTGAACCCGGGCACCAGGCGTGCAACACAGCCATGTGGGACCCTTTCATCTGGCCACTGAGAACAGTATCTATTCCCATGACTATACTATCCCCAATTACAACTACACTTCCCTTTTCTCTCCCCCTCTTGAATGGGTCCCTGTACCACAGTGCTATGGTCAGTTTGCTCATCCTCCCTACAGACCTTGCTCTCATCTACTGAGGGAGCAAGAATCTCAAACCTGTTTGACACTCAAGGGTTGAGTCTCCTTCAGATTCTCTTGGATCGCTCTACCTACCTCACTCATAGTCAGTTTAAAATGAGGTTGGAGGGTTTGTAGAAATCACCGTACCCAGTTATTTTAAAATGTTTACATATATACCTAAACAACATGGACTACTAACTTCAGATCTGTCCCTTATATTTTGAAAGTTTTAGATAATTATTTGCACAGGCAATGAAGATACAGCAGTTATTATACAGGTATTGAGGCAGGTATGGCAGCAAAGAATGAAACAAGAATACCTTTTCTAACCAGTCAAACATATTAATTTAGCATAAATCACCATTCAAGAGATGTAGTTAAGAATATGGAATTTGGGATATAGCACACAGAGTTGGAGATGGCCAACATAAAAAGTGGGGGAAAATGACAGAAAAATACACAGGGAAAACACAACATGGTGCCTGCACTTGCTGTGTTGCTGTAACCTGTGTACTGTACAGACTGAGCTGAATTTACTGGCCAAATGGTGGCTCAAACCATCAACCAGAAAGGTGGTGGTTAAATTACTGCCACCAATTCTAGGAGACCAACACAATTAAATATCTATCAGAAGGTTTTACTGCCTGCCATCAGGTTCCCAGGCCTTTCAAGTTAAAAGCCCACTCTAACCGCCGCCAAACAACGGAAATGCCAGCACCTCCTCAGTTCCAAAAGTACTACCAGGAACAGTGGGGGATTACAGCTCCAGGCCAGAGCATTGCTGGAGGCCTAGAAGAGAGTTAAGTAGTTAGGCTCACAGCCGGGAGAGAGACAAGTGTTTTTGTGGAGGTCGAGGAGGCTTTAATGGGAGAGGACCAACAGCTTTGCCACTGGCAGGGTCTCTATGAGGAACAGTGTGTCTAATAATGAGGATTCTCTCCATACCTCCATCACACCCCCACTATTTCTGAGCCCACAGATATGCCTATGTGGCATGGGCAACCCGTGCCATGATTGGCACACCAGCAATAACAGAATGCAGCCCTAACTTGGCCACTGAAGTGTGTCAACTGTCATAGGGGCAAAAAAATAGGCTTCCACCATTCCTGCCCAGACTTAGTTAAGTTCAGCCATCTGAACATTTAACTTCAACATTTGGAATCGGAACAATATTTTTTAATCTTCCACTTAGGTCATGTTGACAGAACATTCTTTCATGAATGTAGAAGGTCAAGATCTACAGCTCTTCTTATACACAACAAAATTGTGTGTAGGGTAGAATGGTGGAATGTTGTGATTTAGTGCAGTCACAATGAGCCAGTTGTATTAAAAGCATTATGCAATTGGATAAGATTTGTAACACTGGTCCAGGTACAGCTTTCTATAAATGAGTGGGGATCATGAGTTAGGGTGTCCATAGGTGGTATCGGAAACAGTGGTGAGCTAACCCTTAAATGTCAGACAACCAAGTCTTTTGTTTTGCATGGTAAGTAAGCTCTCTCATTGCATCAAGAAACAAGGAAAATTGGGCAAAAGGAATGGTAAGATGAGCTTCAAACTGTATTTGCACAGTATCAATGTATCACCAATAATAGTAAATAAGCAATGTTAGAAAAGAATTATACAATCTATTTAATACCACCCATATCAAAAAAAGTCAAAATGCTGCACAAAGCCTAAAAAGGAAAGTGTCAGTAATTATTAAAGAATGGCTAAATGCCTTGCTTATAGTCAAACAAATGCAGCTATGTCAGTTCAGAACAAACCTATCATTCTGACAGAAATGGAGAAACAGTGCACTATTGTGCATTGCCACTTGACTACAAAACCGTATTCAGAATGAAAATCCCAGGTTTGATTAGTCGGAGTGACTCAGCAGACAGTAAGAAAAAGAAGCCTGTTGTAGCCCTACCTCATGATCAGGAATCTCTGAAGACAGTGTTTTTCCAAGGATATTGGCAGTCAGATATGTCCAACATCGGGCTGTGTTAGCATGGTTATAGCCTCCTGTCTCCACCAAAAAAGCAAACCAAACAAAAATAATTTATTTGACAAGAATACCAAAAGTTAGTGACCATGTTATTTACTACCGTCCCATTTTAATATAGCCCGTATATAACCCTGTTATATAAGTCAATTAAGAAATGTTTGAAGTCATGGTGATCGCGAAGACTTCCAATTTTTTCACCTTTTGTTCTTCCTGCATCAACAGGCCATGTTGACAAGATATGAAACTCAGTCATGAATTATTTTAAAAAGCTATACAGTCATGTTTAAATTTTGAAATGGATTTGGAATGGCTGTACTAAAAATGGCTGCCGCAAATCATATGATACAAGTTGATGACAATTTATGGCAAGTTCCAATCAGAAATTTCCAGAACAGAGTGTAGGCACAATACATCTGGAATTTCTCACTTTTGCATTGATTGGATATTGCAGTCAACAAATACAAAAGCACTGTAGGCAACGAGCTCCCTGCAGGGTCTGGCAAGCAAAGAGTAATTGAAAAGCTTATGTCCGAAGTGGCAAAAACATCTCAGCATCTGGCTGCTGCAGTGAATAGTGGGTTTTGATTGGTGGCACAGGAGCTTAACCTCATTTTACTTGTGGAGGTGCTAATAATTCCACTTATCTCCCGAGGTGAATACTGGACCTGCTGTTACATGATGAAAACTCCTCTGGTCTTAGCTTAAATGATACATTTCTTAACCCTTGCCTCAGACTGGTAAAAAAAATCTAGTCTACTATTAACATCAAAGTCTGTTAAGAATCTAACTGGTGACACCACAGCAAAATTCCATCCTTGGGCGACTGTGAGGAGTTTGCACATTCTCCCAGTGTCTGCATGGGTTTCCTCTGGGTGCTCCAGTTTCCTCCCCCAGTCCAAAGATATGCAGCGTAGGTGGGCTGGCTATGCTAAATTGGCCATAGTGTGCAGGGATGTGCAGGCTACGTGAGTTAGCCATGGGAAGTGCAGGGTTACAGGTACAGGAAGTGTGTGTGTTGGGGGAGGACGTTCTTTGGAGGGTCATTGTGGACCTGATAGGCCGAATGGTCTGCTTCTACACTGCAGAGATTTTATGATTCTATGAACTCCAGGAGGCTTTGGGGGAAAGTGTCACAACTCATTTCTAGAGGAAAGTGATTTTTAAATGTAAAAAAAAACCTCTGGTTAAAGAAAAAAGAGAAATACAAAATAATTCAAATAGTTTGCTCTCGTTGTCAGATACAGAAATTTGAGTTTCAAGTCCAGGATCAATCCATTATAAAATTAGCCAAAATCGGACACAAAATCCAAATCTCAGAAACCAAACTGAACTGAATACTATAATCCAATTGGAAGCCAAGCAGAAACATGCAGTGGTTTAAATGCGACCTGAATCCAACTTCTTACAGACAGTAATCTTCAATGGACACATATTTCCTGAACTCAAAAAACATCATGTGAATTAATGCCCATATTTTTGATTCCCTTTTTAAAGAGATTCCTAATTGTAAACTCTTTCCATTTTTCTCCTTCCTGGTATGCTCGAGTATGCATGTGAAAACTTCCAGTTTGAATGCATGAATAAAGTATACTTTTGAGCGAACCCAAAAGAGAGCTTGTTGAAAGTTCACACAGTGTGGAGCTGGAGGAACACAGCAGGCCAGACAGCATTAGAGGAGCAGGAAAGTTGACGTTTCAGGTTGGGACCCTTCCTCAGAATTATTCAGAAATTTCTGAAGAAGGGTCCTGACATGAAACGTCAACTTTCCTGCTCCTCTGATGCTGCCTGGCCTGCTGTGTTCCTCCAGCTCCACACTGTGTTATCATGGACTCCAGCATCTGCAGTTCTTGCTATCTCTTTAAGAGAGTTCAATCTTTCAAACAAATACTTTGGGGGAAACATGCCACAGTCAATTCCTAAACAGAAAAAAAAAACTTCAATACTTCTGCTTACAGTCAAAAGAGCAGCAAAGTAAAAGAATTCTATTTACCTCTCCTTCCCTGTGGGTAACATTAGCAACAGTTTCTGCTGAGCTGGCACAGGGGGTCGGTTCAGCTCAGTTGGCTGGATGGTTGATTTGTGAAGTAGGGTGATGTTAACAACATGGGTTCAATTCCTACACCAGCTGAGGTTACTATGAAGGTTTCTCCTTCTCAATCTCTCCCCTTGCCTGAAGTGTGGTGTCTGTCAGGTTAAATCACCAATAGTTGTCTATCTCTAATGAGAGAGCAGCCCTATGGTGTGGTAAGACTATGATGATTTGACTTGGTACAGCAACTAAAACTGATGGGGGTGATAAAGTTGCCAGAATTAAATGAGTATTGATATCTCAGATGTTTGTGGTTCTGGAGGAATTTATAGTGATGTGGATTTAATCAATGGAAGAGTTTCAAAAGAAAGATGAGAGTTTTAATAAAAAGGGGTGGCACAGTGGCTAGCACTGCTGCCTCACAGCGCCAGGGACCTGGGTTCGATTCCACCCTCGGCTGACTGTCTGTGTGGAGTTTGCATATTCTCCCCGTGTCTGCACGAGTTTCCTCCGGGCGCTCCGGTTTCCTCCCGCAGTCCAAAGATGTGCAGGGGTGGGTGGATTGGCCATGCTAAATTGCCCATAGTGCCCAGGGATGTTTAGGTTAGGTGGGTTAGACATGCGGAAATGCAGGGATAGGGGAGTGCATCTGGGTGGGAGCTCTTCAGAGGGCTGGTGTGGACTTGTTGGGCCGAATGGCCTGTTTCCACACTGCAGGGATTCTATGATATTCAATGAGTAATACATGGCTCATGAGCACGTGTACTTTTCTCGATCCTACAAACTAAATTGACTCAATAACATTGCTGATTGCCTCATCAGATGACTTCCATTTGTTTGGGTGGATCTGAACTCAAATTTTACACCATGACAAAATCATTTATTTTATTTAACCTTGATTACATCATTGTTGAACTCAAATCCTCCACTAATCCAACTCCCATGTATTATCTAGAAAATATCGCTGCTAAGAATGAAGAGTAGTAACCCTAGGCATCTTACTTGCCTCACTCAAGAACACTGACCAAGTTTGCAAGAGTTCCACCATTGTTTCAATGAGAATCACGGAGTCCATGGAGGGAAAATTGAATAATTCATTTTAAAAGTTGCTTTCAACCTTCCAGCAGATGGCTGAAGAGTCACACTGGCAGGAATATGCAATTGAGTTGTTTCCCATTGTCATATGGGGGGGTATGTGCAAGATACAGGACTGAAGAGTCATAGAGCCGTACAGCATGCAAACAGACACTTCGGTCCAAATCGTCCATGCCGACCAGATATCCTAAATTAATCTAGTCCCACTTGCCAGCATTTGGCCCATATCCCTCCAAACCCTTCCTATTCATATATCCATCCAGATGCTTTTTAAATGTTGTATTTGTACCAGCCTCCACCATTTCCTCTGGTAGCTCATTTCACACATGCATCACACCCTGTAGTCCCTTTTAAATCTTTCCCCTCTCACCTTAAACCTATTTAAGGTTTGGCCCATATCCCCTCTCACCTTAAACCTAGTTTGGCACTCCCGCACTGTGGGGAAAAGACCTTGGATATTCACCCTCATGATTTTATCAACCTCTGTAAGGTTACCCCTCAGCCTCTGACGCTCCAGGGAAAGTAGCCCCAGCCTATTCAGCCTCTCCCTATAGCTCAAACCCTCCAACCCTGGCAACATCCTTGTAAATCTTTTCTGAACCCTTTCAAGTTTCAAACATCTTTCCTATAGCAGAGAGACCAGAATTGAATGCAGTATTTCAAAAGTGGCCTAACCAATGTCCTGTACAGCTGCCACATGACCTCCCAACTTACTAAATGCAATGACCAATAAAGGCAAGCGCACCAGATGCTTTCTTTACTATCCTGTCTACCTGGGACTCCACTTCCAAGGAACTATGAATCTCCGAGGTCTCTTTGTTCAGCAGCACTCAGCAGGACCTTACCATTAAGTGTAAAAGTCCTGCCTTGACTTGCCTTTCCTAAATGTATCACCTCACATTTATTGAAATTAAACTCCTTCACAAGTCCTCGGCCCATTGGCCCATCTGCTCATCTGCTCAAGGTCCTGTTGTACTCCGGGTTAACCTTCTTCACTGTCCACTACATCTCCAACTTTGGTGTCATCTGCAAACTTACTCACTATACCTCCTATGTTCACATCCAAATCATTTATATAGATGACGAAAAGCAGTGAACCTAGCACCAATCCCTGTGGTACACCACTGGTCACAGGCCTCCAGTCTGAAAAATAAACCTCTACCACCACCCTCTGTCTTTTACCTTTGAGGCAGTTCTATATCCAAGTGGGTAATTCTTCCTATATTCTATGTGGTCTAACCTTGCTAAGATCTCAACCATGAGGAACCCTGTTGAACACCTCACTGAAGTCCATATAAATCACAATTTAATACGTGCTGGAACAGTTGGATACTGAGCCTTCCTGGCAAGTTTGCTTCAGTTCCACATTTTGTGATGCATTTATTTACAGCATTTTGAAGGAATTTTTGCTGTAATATTATATATATGAAACTCCCAACTGCAAAACTGTGTTGAATCATTTTTAAAACACATCAAAAGACATGTTTCAATCAATGTTGCAGCTTGCCAATACACTGCATAACATTTTTATTTGCAGGTATTGATTGCCTCTGCATTTATTAAAAATGTCACAACAAAGTACAAATGGACTCACCTCCTCCCAAGACCAGAGTTGGCAATTCCCAGTTCAGAATGTAACGCAGGCACTTTCCCACTCCAACTGGTGTCATATTAAAGGAACACATTGGGTCTCCAGCAATAGTATCTGCTCCTAGCTGGCAGACCACTGCCTCAGGATTGAATGATGCATACACCTCTTTTAAGACACTATTGAGAAGACAAAGTAAGTAAATAAATAAATGTGCCTAGATAACAGATAATTGCTGTAATTGGCATCTAAGGATCATTATACTTAATACTTTCTTCATCATCAGTCCTGTTACCCAAGGACCCATAGGAATCAGTAATCAATAATGGCCTTGCCAGAGATACCACTTCCTCAGAATGCATAAAAATTAGTCAGTTTAAAACCAAGGTTATATCTTATTGACTCGTAACTTATGCATCATATGTTGCTTTTTTTGTAATCAAAAGGAAGGCATGGAAGCCCACTTAAGTAATCCATCATTTGACTTTTGAATTTACCTACAGGGAATTTCAGAGTAACCAAATATTTTCTACTTGATTTTCTCCCTCAAGCCACTCCTTTCAGGAAAATGAAACTTTCACTTTAAAAAATTCCACTTTTCAACCGATTGATCACACAAAAGGCATTTACACTTTATTAATTCAAAAGCTAAGTAACTGATTTATTCAGATTAAATTGTCCAATGTAAAAACTCATCTTTACAAAAACAGTCTTCCTAAGTATGCACAGGTATAAATAGATATAACAAAAAAAATTAAAATCATATCTGGTTGCGACGATTACATTTTTCTTTAAATGGTTAACTGCAGTAAGCCTACTATCCCTAGGTTGGCATCTCGTGTTTGTGAGGAATCTCAATGATTAATATTACAAAATTGTAACGAAAACAGTACTAAGTATGCAAAATCCATCTCTTTTTATGAATTGTCTTGTTGGAACAAATTTTTCATGACATTCAAAAAGAGTCTTTCTTTAGACTGATCATTTAATTTTCCCCAAAACTAACTTAAAATCTGAAAGAATGAGTCTTGATAATAGGAAATCTTATTAACCAAACAAAATATTTTTAAAGATTCTGTTGACTGCTATTGTATTTGAATGTCAGTGTAATAACTGGCTAGAAGGAATTACCTGTGCTGACAGTGTGACGGCTAAATGATCAAAGTCATGAACACAGAGCACTATGCAAGTACAAAGTCTAATAGTTCAAGGCAACCATAACAACATTAGCATAGATTCAATGATTATGTAGGCTCATAGCTGAGAAATATCAAATTGGAAGATTACCATGAATAGATAATGCTGGAAAAAGACACACTTTGTTGAAACTTTACATCTTGTACTCATCAGAACAATTAGCAAGAAATACCAAAGTAAAGGAAAAAGAACATTTATACTACATGAGAGGAGTATGTTGTTTGGTTGACAAGTGGACTCTACTTGGTTGAGGTGTTACCATGGAGAAGTATCAGTTAATGATGACAGCAGTTAACTACCAAGTTTTTTAAAAATTTTAAACAAGGCAGATTGGCTCTGATTGGTCAAGGCACTGCCCTGAGAAATGAACAAGAGAATGACAATAACCTGTTTTGTTGTGTGTACATGTCCTTCCTGCCTGCAAGGAACAGGGGCCTGTGTTTAAATATACGTAGCTTCTAGTACACACATATGCACCATACAGCAAGCCCTAAATTGGCTGCCACCACCTTTCTTCATACACACAGGATTATACTGCAAATGTTGCCCAGTTTTTAAAAATTCATTTGTGGGATGCGGGCATCGCTCGCTGGCTAGCATTTCGTGCTCATCCCTAGTTGCCCTGGAGAAGGTGGTGGTGAGCTGCCTTCCTGAACTGCTGCAGTAGGTTGAGCCACAATGCCATCACGGAGGGAATTCCAGCATTTTGACCCAATGTCAGTGAAGGAACGGCAATATATTTCCAAGTGAGGATGGTGGGTGGCTTGGAGGGGAACTTGAAGGTGGAGGTGTTCCCATCTATCTGCTGCCCTTATCCTTCTAGATGGAAGTGGTTGTGGGTTTGAAAGGTGCTGTCTGAGGATCTTTGGTGAATTTCTGCAATGCATCTTGTAGATAGTACACACTGCTGCTACTGAGCGTCAGTAAGTGAAGGGAGTGGATGCCTGTGGATGTAGTGTTGTTGGAGCTGCGCTCATCCAGGCAAGTGGGGAGTATACCATCACACTCCTGATTTGTGCCTTGTAGATGGTGAACAGGCTTTCAGGATCAGGAGGTGAGTTACTCGCCGCAGTATTCCTAGCTTCTGACCTGCTCTTGTAGCCAACTGTGTTAATGTGGTGAGTCCAGTTGAGTTTCTTGTCAATGGTAACCCCCAGGATGTTGATAGTGGGGGATTCAGTGATGGTAACACTGCTGAATGCCAAGGGGTGGTGGTTAGATTGTCTCTTGTTCGTGATGGTCATTGTCTGGCATTTGCGTGGTGCAAATGTTACTGGCTGCTTGTCAGCCCAAGCCTGGATATTGTCCAGATCTTCTGCATTTGAACATGGACTGCTTCAGTATCTGCGGAGTCGTGATGGGTGCTGAACATTGTGCAATCATCGGCGAACATCCCCACTTCTGACCTTATGATGGAGAGAATGTCATTGATGAAGCAGCTGAAGATGGTTGGGCCTAGGACACTAATCTGAGGAACTCCAATTGCAGAATCACATCTAATATTGGTTACACTTGAGAGCTTTGTAACCATATATGGGTTAATTGCATCAATATGTTGCTTGTTTCAAGCTGCCTAGGGATATGTTGCTTGATACGATTTGCCAATCTTTGGGACATGGCCTACATACCTGGCATCACACTACTGCCAATATTCATATACCATACTACTCATTTCAGTAACCATCTTTATTGGTTTGACGGCAGCATCTTATTAGTGGCAAATGCCACTTCTGTTACTACTGTACTGTAGCAGCATGAAACAGTTACTTGAGCTGTTACTCAAGCTTCTCAGGGTCAAAAGTGATGCTGACTTTGCCTAATATGTAGCAATAAATAATATGATCATAGTAGCCATTATCCTGCCCTATTTCAGAATCAAGCTTGCATGGTAAACAAGTGGTTCAGTAGCTATTCAGGCATAACCCGCAGAGACGTTGCAATCTTATCAGCCAAAGAATATTATGAGGTTACCATGACGATCCTACTTTTTCAGCCTTGACCCTCAGCTTTCATCATCACCAGCGGTCTCCCTCTAGTCAGAACAGGGTCTGGTCCACTAGGACAATGGCAACTTTGCCTTTAGAGTCTAAAAGGTTAATTCTATATGGAAGCACATGAAACTGTAGGAATCCCAACGTGACTAGTGAAAAGTAGATTTGCAGTAGACAGTAGGAGCGAGCCCCAACTGATTGGTTAACTGGAAAGCTATTTCAAAGGTGAGTTTGAGCACAGGATGAAGCCCATTAAAATTTGTCAGGTAGTTCTTACATATAGCTGCAGATTCAAATATAACAAATGGATCATCTCCATACTGGAAATATGCAAGGGATAGGAGGTTAGGCGTTAATTCATTGAAGACCCCTTTCTCATGGAACACTACAAAGATGTTTGAGAGAGGAGCTGGGCCTAATGGAGATCCCATGATAACTCCAACGTAATTGGTGCTATATGGTATTGCTAAAATTGAACTCAACTGCCTAGTTTGTTGAGTTAAAAAATTCAATTAATACTAATTCACACAATAGTACCAGGTCTAGATCACCATGATATGGAACTTCAGTGCAGATATATTTGGCTTCTTTAGGGAATACACTGGTGCATAGTCTAGCAATGACAAATGAACACATGGACACTACATTGCTATCAATACGCAAGCCCTCTATGTTCTTTACAAATGTGAAGGAATCCTTTACTATATCTGAAAAATTTACTCAAACCAGTTGCAGAAATTCATCTATGCATTTGACCAGTTCACGTAATGCTGAAACAAGGTAGGGCGTAAAGGGGGAACCACTTTTGTGCATCTTGGGCAGTCCATACATATGTGAATGCAATCAGCAACAAGGACACATCCTATCATACATAACACCCAACAGATTGTAGCTTTTACACAACTTCAAAAAGCATTCCTTTAGTTTGTTTTCGAATAACACTGTCCAGTTGGTCCAATCGATAAGAAGTTAACCCAGCGTTAGGAATGGCGTGCATTTTGTTAAAGAACAAGGTCTACGGGTGGAAGATGGAGTGGGGATAGAGATTAGTTACATGGCCCAAGAGAATAACTGAGGTCAGGTTTCTGTCTTTCATCAGAATTTTCAATAGCTTGTACATTCATCAGAATATCATTTCTCTTGCAGACAGATTAAAATAGTGCATCTTCTGCAATAACTGTGATCATTTACATTCAATACCTAACAAAGATCATATTAAAAACAAATCCATACTAAATTAAAAGCAGATTAGGATGGGAGACAGAACAGAATCCATTTTCGTGAATAATTCTACAGCAGGAGGGGGGCCCCACTGATTAGATCACAAACCACAGGAACTCTGAGAAGATGAAAAAAAAATGTCTTTTACTGAAGAGAATTTACAGACTGAACAACAAATGCCACTCTGGGGGTAAAAGGTTAAGAGTTCTTCCTAAACACAAACTTTAACCTCACCCATGTTTGGATCTATATAGCACTCTTTTCACTTTATTCAAGGATTCCTACCCTCCCAAATCTTCACGCTTCACACAGATTTTATGATCACTAGTAACAGAATGTGCAAATACAGACTTTGCATTTTCAGTAAGCGCATATGTTACTTCCTTTCAGTTCATATGCTTGAATTGTTTGGCTCTCTGTGCCATTGACATATCTGTCACAACAACTGACTGGGTGCTAAATATTGGAGCTTTCGTGGAATAGATTTTTGCCCTATTTTCTAATTAACTGTGGCTCATGTACTGGAAGGAAAAATTGGGAAATATGTTTCAGAGTTCTGTTTTTATTTATTCCAAAGCTCTGTTGAATATCCACAGTCTGTTCAAATTCCTACTGTTTTTCTATAGATGAGGATACCATTGCCACTTGAAAATTAATTTCCCAACTCTTCTCACTGGTCTCTCCATTCTATCTAGCATCAGGGTTACTATTTATTCTACTCAAAGTGACTACTGGTTGATTACACAAGATGAATCCAACTATAATTCTCG